GACCTCCTCGGTCGGACTGTTGAACACGTCCGACGAGCAGCTCTTCGAGTCGCAGTTCAGCGCCATATCGGAATAGTCCGCGGTCTCCTCGGTCTCCGACGGCAGATTCCTGGTGGAAGCCAAGGAGATGGCTCTGGCCTCCGGCTTGTGCGGCTTCTCTTCGTCCGCGTAGTCCAGCGAGAGACACTTCTTCTCGAACAGAGCTGGCCCAGGAACCTTACCTTCCGCTTCCTCCGTTTTCCCCTTCTCCTCATCCTCTTTCGCAGGTTCTTCTTGCTTCGCCTCCAAGCTGCCTTCCTCCGTCGTCTCCAACGAATTCAACACCCTGGACGGACGCCTGATGCTGTTCTCCCTCTCGACGGACAGGCAGAACTCCTTGTCGGTCAGGAGGATGCGCCTGGGCTGTCTCGCCGGCTTCTTGTCGAGATCCAGGTCCCTGTCCTGCGACGGAGTCCTCAGCTGGCTCTTCACCTTCCTCAGCTCCGTCAGCAAGTCCATGGTCTCCTGCGAGGGTTCGTGAATGATCCACCGCTTCGGCCGCCTGACGGAAGCGGCGGCGTCCTCCGGGTCGCTGGGATGATCCACGCCCTGCTGCTTCTTCAGCACCGACCTGACGGTGCTCCGCACACTGTCCGACCTGCTCGACTCCTTCTCGTCCTTCGACGGAGCCTCCGACGCCTCCTCCGACCTAGCTTTAGCGTCCTTCGACCCGTCGTCCGGAGTCTCCGTTAGATCGGCCTTCATCTCGTGCTGCCTGGCGATTATGCTCTGCACGCTTCCCCGGGTGCGTCGCTTGAACTCCGCGTAGGTTTCGGTCGGCACCTCGTGGCGCTTGAACTTGTCCTGCAGCTGCTTGAACGTCTCCTTGGTGTACTCCTGGCCGATCCGGTGGGCCAGCGAGTCCTCCGACGTGGTCTCCCTGCCTCTCTCCATCCGATCCCTCGCCTGGTACTCGCAGGAGGCTCTGTCCTTCGACAGCAGGTCGTCCGAGGAAATCCCGCGCCGCTCGAACTGCGCCTGCTTGCTCGGCTTCGGCTCGTCGACGCTCTTGCCGTTCCTCTCCAGTATGTCCTCGTAGGTCTGCCTCCTGGTCTTCAGCGGCGAGCAGACGGCCTTCTGCAGGGAGCCGGGCCGCGAGTCGGGTCGGTCCGGCGACACGTTCGCGATCGGCCGCTTCGTCGGCGAGTTGGGCACGCTGTCGCCGTCTTGCGAGCCCGCGGCCTTCGAGTGCGTGGGCGTCGCGGCGTCCTTCTTCGGCTGCCGCTTCTTCTTCGGCGAGTTGCCCCAGCTGTTCGGCTCCTTGTCCGAGCCGAAGCTCGCGCTGCTGAAGATGATCTCCTCGCTGGTGGTCACCCGACACTTGAGCAGCTCGGCGCCGTTCACGGTCCTCTCCTTCGCCTCCTGCTGGGGCTCCTCTTCGGCGGTGGATTCCAGGGGCAGCGAGCTGGGCCCCGAGTCCAGCACGTCGTCCAGAGACACGCCGCGCAGCGGGTCTCTGTTGTCCTTCGCCTGAACGGTGGACTCCAGGTCCTCGGTCTCGAACGAGTACATCTTCAAGAGCGTGCCCTTGCCGGACCGCCTCCTCTCGGCGGCGAACGCCTCCGTCGTCTTCTGTCCCACCAGCTTCCTCAGTCCCGGGATCGAGATCCTCTTCCCCTCGTCCTTGAGCGTCTCGCTCCTGACCACCGTCCTCCTGTCGTGCTTGGGTGTCTCGAACGTGAATTTGTCCAAAGTCTTCGAGGAGCCGATCTTGTCCAAGAACGGCCTCTCCACCGCTTTGCTGGGCCCGATCTTCTCCAGGTAAGGCTTCCCGATGATCTTCGGCGCGATCTTCGCGAGGAACGGCTTGTCCTCCGTCTTCGATATGCCGATCTTCTTGAGGAACGGCCGCCGCTTCTCCTTCTCCTGCGCGCGGGACTCGAAGGAGCGGTCGCTGAGCCGGTCGTTGCTGTAGTTGGAGGAGTTGTCGCTGCTCTTCGACCGCGCCCGCTTGTTCCTGGGGTGCGGGGTCAGGGGCGTCCTCGGCGTCCTGGGCGTGAGGGACGGGCTGGGTTCCTGGTTCGGGCAGGTCTCGTCCAGCAGCGCGATCGCGTCTTGCAGGTCCATGTACGCTTTCCTCGGCGTGGCGCTGACGTACGACGGCCTCGGCAGCTCGCTGTCTATGCTGCTGTTCCGCGTCGACGTCGCGTCCTGCTTGCTGTTCGACGGCTCCAGGTCCACGTACAGGTAGGAGGGATACGAGCCGCGGTCGGCCGTCGGCCCCGGCGACGAGTCGACCACGCTTGGGTAATCCTCGAGGAACCAGGACGTGACGCCCAGCTCCTCGGGCCTGGCCGCGGTGCTCTGCAACGGGATGGTCTTGCTGATCGCGCCCATGCCGCTCGAGGACGACGACTGCCGGTCGATCTGCGCGATGCTCGCCGACGCGCCCGAGACGCTCGCCGCGATCTCGCTCGGCGCGCTGCTGACCACCACTGCTCGACGGTATCCGGTGCACGTGGCGAAGTACGGCAGCGCCGGCCTCGCCGTCTCCACGATCACGCGGCCCTGCGCGCACGGCACCATGGGCTCCCCGTCGGCCGGCGCCTCTTCCGGGGTCAACGGCAGCGCCGCGCCCCGACCGAACTCGATGAACCACAGCTCGTCCCTCAACTCGCTTTCTCACTTCTTCTCGTTCATGTCTTTGTTCAGATAGTGTAGCACGTAGTGGAGCACCAGGTCGTAGCAGTACTTGTACTCGGTCTGCGGAAACGAACGGTTCGTGAGCTGGCCTGACTCTTTTGGCAATAGCTTTACGGACGTTTATTCTACAGTTTATTCTGTGCTTCCTAGCGGAATGAATATTCATTCATTTTTAACACTTTACCGACCGGCTCAGCCACCGATTCACCCTGGCGCCGGCTCTGTTTCGGTTTAACACGGTAAGCGCCACGGAAATCTTAAGCGTTTTCCCATAGAGTTTGTCTTTTGTAGCAAAGAAAAGCAGGAACAATTATGAATTACGATTGGTTTTTAGTCATTCAGAAGCGTCAGTCACCAGTGACTGACATGGCGCTTAACGTGTTAAACGCCACCCCCGTTCGCTCTGTCTTTCTTACCCTTGCACCTCTCTCACTCGCATCTTTCGTCCATAGTTAACATTCACGCAGTCACGCACACGCTTTTCTCACTACCCAGTCGCTCAAGATTCTCAGACCAAGCGTCAGTTATAAAAAACCGATTAATGGGCTATCGGTCGGTAAAGGGTTAAAATAGACATTTGCGATACGTATTCTTACAATTGCACCGATCAATTATGAAGCTAGTGTTTCGTAAAGTTTCGTAAAGCTAGTGTTAGATTCGATACCGAGGACTGTGGTGTACGGAGTTTCGCCGTAAACGCTTACCATATTCTCGACTAATTGAGGCCTGTTCCTGCGCACAGTTTTAACTGCTTGGAAGATATCCACTTCGCCGTGCTGGATCACCTGTTCTATGCAGGCGTTCGCGGCACAATAAACGCCGCAACGGCTCCTGCCATCCGGCGAAACCACTGCCACGGGACCGTAATCCGTTCGTTGTCTCCATCTCTCGACCATATTCATCAGCTCCACCAGACTATTCGTCGACGTCGGAACTTTGTGACCCATTGGCCAGCAAGTCAGCTGGAACAGCTGCACCGTCTTCGGCGGGGCTTTAACGCCTAGCATAACCTCTGTCAGCGATACGATCTTCTTATTTATGCTGAAGATCTGAGAGGGAAATTCGTGTTGTTACAGAAACTATTGTAGTATCTAGAATATTCAGATATTTATATATCATACAGCCAAGACTGCAATTAAGCGGTCCTAAATAATTACAGCAAACACGAATATGATTAGCCTTCGCCATAAAGGCGCTACTGTGTATCTACCCCCGACCGAACTCTGTAAGGTCGGGGAACATTGTTTGGAAAAATAAAGCGCTTGTGTCTAGAATATTTAGCGTAGGTTAAAGTATTGTAGGACGAATGGTTTGTTGTGCGTGCGTAAGGACGACCAGGTCGTATTGCGACGGACCGGCGCAGGGATGTTTGGAAAATAGTGTGACTGCGTTTAGAAAATCTCGAGTGGCCGAAAGAATGCGAGGAAGAGTGTCTGGAACCGAGCGACTGGCCGTGAGAAAAGCGTGTACGTGACTGCGTGAATTTTGACTATGGACGAAAGATGCGAGTGAGAAGGGTACAAGGGTGAGAAAAACAGCGAATGGGGGTGTGTGTTAAAAGCGAGTGGGAATGTGCGCGAGAGACATTCTGTGCGTGATCGTGGAAAGGATTAACAGTTAGCGAGACAGCGAATTATAATATAATAAAATATTTGTTATGATTATTACCCAGTCAGTCTAATTCGTTTCTTTTTTATTCTTCGCCACGGCAACATGCGGGATTTAAATAATAACCCTACAGTATTCAGCGTTTAATTTAGCAGAATCTGCGAATGGTTTCGTGTACTAAAACCAATCTTCGTCCGGAAAGGGTTAACTCGGTTCCGATTCGTAGATAACGCGAAGAGAATAGGAAAATTTGCGATAGTGCGCGATATAAATGTAAAAGGCGGAGAGAGAAGACAGAAATGAGAGTGGAACGGTGCTCACCCAGGTCTTGATGTTCGTATAGTGATTGTGGCTGATGTGATCAATGGTGAATACGGGACCGTATTTCTTCGAGTGTTTCCCCTCGGGCCAGAAACTCGGGAAATTCGTGGATCCCGGGGGTGGCACGCACAGCACCACTACGGCTGCACACTCGCAGTCGTAAACCAGGGACCAGAAATCCCCGCACGTGTGTCGAAGCGGCCATTCCGTTACGATGTACTCCTTTGGCTTCGTGTAGCCCTGTTCGGGATGTACTTTTAGCAAAGAGATGGACACGTTTGCGCCGGGAAACCGTATAAACGTGCCGCGCCGACGAAACGAAATGGCGAAAGAAGCGAAACCGCTGAATACATATTGCAACACGAGACGACTATTCTCCGTCGTGCGTAATTCTGGTTTTCTAATTACTGTCTGGACAATTTTAATTAAATTCAATTCAATTCAATCGAAAGTTCGGTTTTATTAACAGTAGCGATAATACTGATAATCATGCAAATATTACATTCACGAATTCGAATTTTCAAGAATAGAGTCGAGTTGCAATAGAAAATTGTTTCAGTGAATATTATAAAAATACTACACTGTGGATAGTTTATGTATTTTTCCGTATCCTGGGCATTTTATGCAATTTTGAAACATGAGATTTGTTATAATGCCTGAGAATCTGCAGCCACATGACAATTCGAATATTAAGAACGTACAATTTATTCTGGAGTATTTACTTTATCACTTTAATACTTTTTTTTGTAACTTCCGTTGTATACGTGTACGTTATGTTCGCAGAGAATATTATGGCTTAAATGGTAAACTGCATACTTACGTCCACGAAGACAGCATTTATATAGTCAGTGTAACTGTTACCCTGGAAACTGGTGAGGTATGGTCGGAAGTTGTCAGCTAAATAAGGGAACAGTAATTAAATGAGTAATGATGCTGTTCGTGCTACCTATATGAAAATGTGACACATTGTATACGAGTACATATAATACGTCTTGGTAGCTTTGGCTATCCAATGTAAATAAAAATAAAAATAAATAAAAATCTATTCGAATGTTCACGCGAGCACTACCACAAGTGACCATGTACGGGATACAAAATTTAATTAAACTATCAAACGAATATTAACCCTTTGCACTCGAAAGTTTTTCACTCGAAATATTCAATACTCTCCGACTAGATGTAGACAAGATTTTTCAAAATTAATTTATCAAGAAATCACGCATAAATTAGGGAACAAAGCTTTCTTCCAATATTTCACGTTTCGATGCAGTACACAAACTTAAATGGTGAATGCAAATATTATTATATATATTATATATTATTATATTATTTTACTATATCTAATTCATCTGCTGACTGAAAGTCGCCTCTCGAGTGCAAAGGGCTAACACCTCGACGCTTAAAACATTTTACACTAACATTCAAACTGCGAATTCACGTGCAAGCGTCCACAAATATAAAATCTTCTCGATAAAATCGTAAAGCTCGATTGCCCGCGAGAGTATCGAAGCGAAACCGGGGAGGCATTCTCTTTTTTTGTATTATTAAATTACAGTATTCAGGGGTGCAGCGCGGTTCCTTTTCTTTAGCGTCGGTAAATCCCCGAGATACATTTTTCATGAGAGTATCACGGCCGTTTTTATCGCGCCAGTTTTTGATCAGTGTTTCCGTCGCGGCGAACTTACGCGGCACTACCAGGACGTCTCTGTTCTTCTCCCTGTTGTCGCCCCTGTGGCCGCCGGCGCAATCGCCGATCGTAAAGCGCGGCGTTTGCTTACAAATTTGCTGATATTCCCGCTGATAGTCGTTCATCTTGGTTATTGGATTTTTTACGCTCTTCTGCTTGAGACGTTGGGACAGCTCCGACACCGGGAACCAGGACGTGCCGCAGATCACGAATTCCTCTAACGTGTCGTACACGAACTTGTACTGTTCCTGATCGAACGGGACGAGAAACGGATACGTGAAGATGCAGAAATTCGTACGGATGCTCTAACGGCGGAAAAGTTTTCGTCTGTTTCTCGGGGAAGTGTAATTAGAAGCTCCGTTTTATTACGTTCGACTGCGCCTGAACATCTGTCGTTCGGTTCGGTCGACGACGTTGCGTTTCTAGTAGCGCCATATTGGAGAGGAAATGAGAAAACTGTTTGGCCAACTCGGCGGTCTCGAATATTCTCGAGGTTCTTTTCTGATTAAAAATTTTCCGTTTTACCGTTTGAGCGCTGAGCGGTCTTGTGTTGTGCCAAAATTGCGGAGAGCATCAATTGTAATTTTCTTACTGTATTCTTCGAGGAATTAATCAAAGTAAAGTTATTTGAATGAATGTTGTTTTTTGATATTTTTTGGTAATACAATATTTGTGATCTCATTGGATAACTCTTATTAATTCTTTTGCATACGCGCCCAATCACTTCCGCAGTTTTGGTAAATATCCACAAAAGTTTAGCATCCGAGTTAATGTGAAGTTAGCTTCCAATTTCGTTTCATTTGAGTGGAATCTGTGGTTACTTCCCAAGGTGATTTTCAATTTGTAAGTGGAAAGCTTGTCCTTCGAATATTTTTGTGTTAATGTATTCGTCAGTATTATATAAATATCTACGTTGAAAGGTTAACACTAGAACCACTGAGCATTTAATACGATTGACATGTAATCTCTATAAAAATTGTAACAATTTTTCGATTATTTTCAGTTTCTTTGGATATTCATTACAGTATTGCAGTCAAAGCTAATTTTCAAGATCATTTCGAATATTCAATGCTTTTAAGATATCAATAATTGTGAAACAAGCAAATCGAAACCAGTCATTTTGACTGTTACGATAATTCTAGTGTTAAAAGAAAATATTTTCGAGTTACAAAGTGAAAGATACTCTATATTTACCAAGTCATCGATCAGTCCTCGTCTACTTTGCCGCAACTTTTTCAAATACCCGAAGACATCGAAAGCGTGTTCCTCCTCGGCCAGCTCCATGTTCGCGTCTATCGCCAAGTACACTCCCGACCGTCCGCCGCCATCGCTTTACGCAACAAAACGTCTTTCATTCTTATTCCATTGTTTCCTGACTCGTTAATTTCCAAGTGGAACTCACTTGCAATGGACGACCATGGGGCCGGAATCATTTTTCCTCATGGGGCCGACGACAGCTCTGACTCGCCGACGGAATTCCAGAACCGCGTTGCCGAACGGACACGTGTGCGAGTACCATTCTGTGTAATGGAATTGCAACAATGTCCTCTCCTCCGTTATTTCCTGGAACACAACGAACGAACGTGAATTTAGCATTTCAACTCTTTCGTTAGCAACGAACCAAGCGAACGCATATTCGGACACGAATTTTTATATATTTCGTTACGTTCTCGAGGAAATTTCACGCGATTCTTTCGAAGTGATGTTTCTTCAACATTTTTACGTCGATTCCTGCTTCGACGATGAAAACATTTAACTAGAGATAGTGTTATATTGAAGATTGAACGGATGCGAACATTTCAACGGGGAATTTCACGAATGCCGCCGATAATAAAAGTCACGTATGCAATACGCGAGTACGGGAAACATTTGGACAATTTCATTGCATTCTTTACTGAAATACGTTACCATAATTCCCCGGAATTTCGTGCGAAGAACTTTTTACCCGGTTTCACCGGAGTCATCGATTAAAGAGTTATTTCATTCGGCACAAGAAATGTTTAATACAGTATTAATATAATGAACACGATAGGCATCGTCGAGCACGTTCCACGAAATTCAGTTCGTTCGCCGAGCTTTCCGTGTAATTATTTCGATTCACGTGGAAACCTTTCAACGCGTCGGATATTACGTTTTACGTTCATTCGACAAACGTAATGTTATGTAGGATAAAATGCGTGAATTTTGACTATTGACGAAAGATGCGAGCGAGAAGGGTGCAAGGGTGAGAAAGACAGAGGTGCATTAACCCTTTGCAGACGAATGTCGACATTCCGGCAAGGTGAAACGTTCATATTTGGAAGATTAAGTCACAGGCAAATGATTCAATTACTCGGACAGCGAGAGATCGGCGCGAAGTTTTCTTTTTTTCTGTTGATTATGCAGTTGGTAGATTTAACACGCTAAGCGCCACGAAAATCTTAAGCGTTTTCCCATAGAGTTTGTCTTTTGTAGCAAAGAAGGGTAGGAATACTTATGAATCGTTTGGCGTTGCAACGTTTGCGTTACACTATTATCAACTTAGTTGCTTTATTAAACATTTTTTTACGTCTTGTATGTTACGATTGTTTTTTAGTCCTTCAGAGGCGTCAGTCACCAGTGGCTGACGTGGCGCTTAACGTGTCAATTACTCGGACAGCGAGAGATCAGCGCGAAGTTTCCTTTTTTTCTATTGACTATGCAGTTGGTAGATTTAATTTAGCTTCGTCTGTTGAAGGTTTTGTACATTTCAAAGAATCTTCGTCCGCAAAGGGTTAAGAGTGAGCGAGAACGCGTGCGGGTAGGACATTCGAGACATTTTGCGAGTGACAGTTGAGCGAGACTTTTGAGCGAGATTTTGATCAGCGAACGAGCGTTTAGAAATCTGCACAGACATTGCGACTTGTAAGGGAACATCCTACAACATTCAGGACTCGTACGGGATAATTCCCACAATTATAACGATAATGGTAACAAGTGAAATGCTCGTAACAAGTAAAATAAAATTATCAGTGAAACTTGGTTCCGACTTGGTAGCCATATGCTGCATCGTTTATTAGCACCTCGGGGGAGACTGATCAATCGCATACGTCGCGAAGACGTAGCTAACGAAGATCGAATACGCGATGCTAACGAGGCGCCACGTTCTATCGCACGCTGGAAATATTTCGCACTGTGGGTGTATCCGTTGCACCGGTGCACGGGAAACTGGTTTTTCTACTGAAATTCGAGCTCGCGCAATAAACTTCCCTTTCAATTGCACCCGACAATGCAACTGGCCATACGTTTGCACGTTCATTACAAACATTCGAGTTCCTAGAAGCGATGAATATGTTTCCAGCTTTTTCTCATCAATTATTTTCAATAAAACGTTATTCCGTTTCAGATCGAACGTGGAATTGAATTTCAACTACCTGAGGATTGGTGTTCTTTCACCGAAGTGAAATAGGTTTCGAGCGGGATAAAATATTCCTCTTGAAACAGTATTCCGACAAGTGTAACTTGCGTCGATTTCATTCGTAAAATAATCATCGAAGTAATTTGTAAAATTTCATTCGTGTGCAATATTTGTATTACAATATATAAATAAATAGATAGATAGATAAATTAATAATAAACAAATAAATAAGTAAATACGAATTCATGTTACAAATTATATTTCTCATTCGTTTTCTCATTTGCAAGAGAAAGATTAAAAAGATCTTTCTCGCTCATTATCATTATCATTAAAAAACCTACCCCAATTGTTCCTAATTTCCTCAATCACATGATTCGATACAAAAATATGAAGTTGAATATTTAATATTTCAAATCAAACTTTACCATGCTATGTGAAACATTGAAATAAAACACCTCTGTTGCTCAATTCATCTACGAATTATCCTTAAATCAGTTTCAACCAATACGACCTATATCTCGTCAGAAAATGAATATTTCCATCGAAAAACTTTCGAGTGCAAAGGGTTAAGAAAACGCGTTCCCTTCGTTGAGATTCTCGTCCAGTAATAAGACGCGTAATAACGCGGACAGTCTACGGACGAGGACTGCCAGTCTGGATTAGCTTTTACGTAACAAATCGTTTTAGCAAACCCGCCCTTTTCCTCCCCCTGTCGTCCCCCTCGACCATATCGTTTCGTGTTCACCTAGTTTCGCGACGGCGCTGAACTGGCTCGAGTCCGGTTCCCTTTTATAGTTCATTACGAGCAACTTTTTCCCGAAACTTTCGTTCTTTCGTTCGCGAATCGAGTCTTCCAGGAGCCTCGCCGGGGAGTCCGCCTCCAGTTCCGGAGAAGTTTCGAGTTTGCGCGCGTCCCTGCCAGCTGAGCGAGACTTCGTTACTTCTGTCGGAGGGATTATATTCGACGGCTCATCTCGTGTATTACATAATGTGTGTGCACATGCTCTTCCATTATGTAATGTACATAGGGCCGGAGCTTCGGGAAAGGCGTAACGCGGTGTTTGATGCAATTAAGCCGACGAATACGATCGATAGGGATGCTTGCCGGAAGAATGAGATGTCAGATTAGAGGGTGAACCTGCGAGGTGCTGGATATTTATAAACAATGGAGATCATGCGTGGCGTATTAACCCTTTGCACTCGAAAGTGTTTCACTAGAAATATTCAATATTCTTCGATGAGATACAGACGATGTTCTTTGAAACTAATTAACGAGGAGACGTATATAAATTAAGAAGGAAAATTATTTTATTTCAATATTCCATATATCGATGCATCATACAGAACTTAACTCTTTGCACTCGAAAGTTTTTCACTAGAAATATTCAATATTCTTCGATGAGATACAGACGATGTTCTTTGAAACTAATTAACGAGGAGACGTATATAAATTAAGAGGGAAAATTATTTTATTTCAATATTCCATATATCGATGCATCATACAGAACTTAACTCTTTACACTCGAAAGTGTTTCACTAGAAATATTCAACATAGAGCCGGAGCTTTGAGAAAAGCATAACGCGGTGTTTGATGCAATTAAGCCGACGAATACGATCGATAGGGATGCTTGCCGGAAGGATGAGATGTCAGATTAGAGGGTGGCGTGACTCCGAGGTGCTGGATATTTATAAACAATGGAGATCATGTGTGACGTATTAACCCTTTGCACTCGAAAGTGTTTCACTAGAAATATTCAATATTCTTCGATGAGATACAGACGATGTTCTTTGAAACTGATTAACGAGGAAACATATGTAAATTAAGAAGAAAAGTTATTTTATTTCAATATTCGTATATAACACATCGTATTTTTCATTATCGAAATTCTTGACATTGTACGGAGAAACTAATCTCGTGTGGTATTAAATTATTTTAAGATATTTCTTAGTGTTCCCTGTGCAAGTTTTAGGGAATGAACATGTTATCAAATAAAATTTTATTTATGTAATATAAACGTAGAACAGAAGAGTGTCAAATAAAACTGTAGATTTTGTGAATAAATCTTCCCTAAATTCCCGCAGCCATCATGTCCGCGTATTATCAAAATCTCCGACACGTCGGAAAAGTATACTGTCCGTAGTAATCTCGCGTGCTAGTGAATTATTCGTCCTTTTATCGTCGCGCGCATGAAAACTGTTGTAAAAAGTAACAGAAAAAAATGTTACTAATATTTACTAATTATCTTTGGTAAATCTCGCGACAATCTGCCGAGCAATTTTTAGAATTACGAAATATTTTTTGAAGGAAAATAATATTCCTGATGTTTAGTAGTTGTCTCTGCTATGTATATAGCAAAATAATATTAAACAAAATTGTTAGTTTCAACGACACATCTCCCACAATTCCCACTATTAAATTACAATTTACCTTATTACAATAATTGAATAATTTTCCCCAAATCATAGAATAATCAGCCTAGCAACTTCCAAATTTAAGAAAATCAAATTTTAGATAAAATATTACAATAATTGAATAATTTTCCCCAAATCTTAGAATAATCAGCCCAGCAGCTTTCAAAATTTAAGAAAAAATATTACCGACATACAATAATTATCTGTGCTAAATTATCAAACAAAACCGTCAGTTTCAACGACACACCTCCCGAAATTCCAGTATCACCGATCTCCCTGGCATCTCGCGAAAAAAAAGTAATCTGTCCCCGGTAATCCCAGCAGCTAGTGAATTATTCCTCCCTTTTTCCGAATCGGCGCGTATACGAGGGCTGTCGTTCCCCGCAATTTTTCCGCGCTACGCCCCGGTAACGCAAGACACATCTGCCTTACGGTTCGTCAATTTTTCACGCGTCGCGCATGAATCCGTGGAAACCGGCTGCGCGGAACAGCCGAGGACTATACTCACGTCCTTCTCATTCTTCTTGTAAAGCCTTATCGTCCGTATGTGAAAATTGGCGAGCTCCTCCTCCTTCAGCACCGACACTCCGATCCCGCCGTACTCCTCGTCCTTGTCTTTACTGGCTGGCCAATATTGGACGCACATCACCTGAAATCGATTCGACCGCCGGGCTCGTTATCGTTCGACAAATGCGAATTCTCGGCTCGCGCGAAATACTCCAGAATCTAAGATCGAGATCGAGATTTGGTAAACTACCACTGTTTATTCGCATGCGTGCGCCTCTGAAGTGTAACTGACAATGAAAAGAAGTTTCATTTATGAATCACTCTGTGCGATTTTCTTTTCATTTCACCCCGTAGATCTGGAGTATATTAGATGCGAATTCTGGACTCGCGCAATGCGCTACAATGTAAACTCGAAATCGAGATTCGGTAAACTACTGTTGTTTATTCGCATGCGTGCGCCTCTGAAGTGTAACTGACAATGAAAATAACATAATTGCGTGTAGTTTCATTTATGAATCACTCTGCGCGATTTTCTTTTCATTTCACCCCGTAGACCTGGAGTACACGATCGTTTTCTCTGGAAAATAAAGTGTACATTCCAATGCAATTAGCACACGAGCGTACAACAGCGTGACATACGCTGTCACGCTGTTGTACATTTTCGAAACACTGCTTGTCGCACGTGTCACGCGGAAAAACGAAACACGCTGATAATCCAATGTATTGTTATTTTTTATAAAGTGTTATTATTAACACGTTGACTGCCACGAAAAGCATCAGCGTTTTGTGTCACTTGTTCTTTCTATAGCAAAGATACAAAGTAAAAATTATTTGATATGAAAATTCTTATGTTACCCTTATTATCTAGTTATTTACGTTACGGAAAATTTGTATTCGAGATTAATTATTTTCCAAGTCATTATTTTCTTGTAATTTGAAAGCTCCGGTCATCGGTGACCGAAAACATTGAATAACGAACGAGACGAAGGAAATTGAAATGAGTTGAAAGGAGCGAAACGACTCGCATACGAAGCGTTAATGCCCCTACAGACGAAGAATAAAAGAAATGATTATAATTATTTCTTTGTTTCTTTTCTTCTAATGATAATAAAGGGACTACAGAAGTTTCGGCGCCTCACCCGGACGAACTCGAAAGTTTTCGTGAGCATAACGATGCAGCAAGCCTTCTCCTGCCAGACCATCCGCCAGAATTCCGTGACAGTGTTCTCCGTGGGTCCCTGAGTGACGATGTACGCGTTCGGTTGCAATATACTCTGGAACATTAAGGTCCACATTCATCGATCGAGCATCCCTGGCATTAACGCGTTCGCGGTCGTACATTATTTCCTGAAGTCCATAGCTGAATGACGCAACAGTCCGATATGCAAATGCGCACGAATAGAAGAAACGAATGATAGAGCAGTCCATACTTAGCTAGAGATTTTGGCATTCCGTTTAAAAATATAAGATTATGTAGTCTTAACCAGTCAACTGTGGAATTTAGTTGGAAAAACCTCTGGTTCTGCGCAGTAAAATAGAAAAATGGAGCGTGTACTCGTCCAACGCAGGACGAATGCACGTAGAATATATTTTAATGAAAGACCAAAGCGAAACAAAGAGGAATTACATGTTTCTGTGAAAAAATAAAATCGAATTACTATAGTTAAACGTTCTGAAAAATTAACCCTTTGTGGACGGATGTCGGCATTCCGATGAGATCAAATTTCGAAGACTAAGTTGTGGACAAATGATTGAATTGGTCGAACAGAGATCAGCACGCCATTTTTTTTCCTATCAATTAAGCAGTTGGTAGATAATTTAGCTTTGTTGAAGGTTTCCTACATTTCGAAGAATCTTCGTCCGCAAAGGGTTAAAAACGATTGGATCTACGTTACCAGTATTTCTCTGCAAAAGTCAAAAATCAAAAATACGACTACGTTAGGAATATTCAGCTAAAATGTATACTGCGACGTAGGCTACGTTACCGATGACGAACGCGTTAAAATAGACCTTTCACGTCGTGGGAACAGCTCCGTAACGCTATTTTAGGAGACCGCGATTATGGATTATTCAAATTTGCCGGGCATGATATCACGCTCGAGCTCTGATATTATCGGAGGCCTGATCCCGACTCGACGAATCCTATAGAACGTCGAATTCGGCTTGATATTCAAACTTTATTTTCCACGTCTTTCGAATCTCGTTCGCGCGAGCGTTGGTAAAAGAATCTTGTCGGTCGCCGCTCGTTGTTAATCCACGTTAACGCCGGAGAAAATGAGGAAACGTGGAGCGCAAAGAAATTGATTTAGTACTCACATCGACGTAAGATGCATTAACGTAATCGGAGTCGGCTGCACCCTCTATCGTGTCCAAAACCACTCTGTTGTAGTCATCTGGGTCGAACGAAACGAATGTTACCAGCAATATTTAATACTCAGCGTCGAACCGTTTCGAATAAAATTGAAAATCACGGGCCGAACGTTAATACGCGACATTTACATCGAGCTTTTTATTTTAAAAGCGTTCCTCCGCGCTCGGTTAATAATATATAGCGTACTCCGTCATACATGTATAATTCACCTTTTCCACCGTGAACAAGTTGAAAAATTCAAATTGCTCCGCATCTCTCAATTAGTTCCGTTAAAAAAGAATCCGTCAAAATTAACGTCGCTCGCATTCAATATCCAGCGGCGAATCATTCCGAAAACGAAAATCGCGAGTCGAGAATTAATCTCGAACATTTCAATATAATCTTTCACTTTCAAAAGCATTCTTCCGTACGCTTAAGTAATAACATGTGAGGCGCGTCGCGATGCACGTAAGCGAATTTTTCCGCGGCGAGATTCTTCTGAAATTAAATTCCTCCGTAGCTCGAAATGATTTTTTTAATGAATTTCAACGGATTTCGAGGTCCGGAGAAAGGCGGGTAGAACGTTTTTCATCAAACTCCCGCGAGCGGAACGGCGGTTTCTTATGCGGGAACTTAATATTTACAGTTTCGCGGAGATTCGCGATCTCGTTAGATTTCCACGTTCAAGTGCGCTCGACTTCCCGGCCGAGCTCCTGCTGGAATTAAACGGGCGTCGAGGTTAAGATGAATTACACCGAAAATAAAAGAATCCCGGGAACAAACCGACGCGGCGGCGGGGCTACTGTTTGCGCGGGTACTTCCGTCGGAAACGTGGAAACCCTATCAACGTCAAACGATACTTTCGTCGCGAGCGCGCGGGGGAAGGCAAACGTTCCCAGCCGCCTCGACGTACCACGGCGAGCGAAACTTTTGCCCGGCGCGCGGGAAGCACGAGTATAACCGCATTTTCTAATTAGACGCGTCGTCCAGCCGGAATTTTTTTCCCGCCGGCGAATAATTAGAACCGGCCGTACTACCGCCGCGCCGCGCCGCTTGTCAACGTCCTACCGGGTATACCGGTAATTTCGTTCCCGGCTTAATTATTTCCGAAGTTGCAATTGTCTACAAACGAGGGATTCGTTTCGCAGGTTCCGGCTATGGAAAAAACTGCCGGAACATCTGCACTGCAATTCCCCGTTTCTGATTAATATCGGAACGATATTTTCGACGCACCGGCGAGTTTCGTTTTCGACGGGACGTTGATCAACGAGAGAGCAATTGCGGAAGATTTTTGTTTTTATTAATCAACGGATATTTTTAATTGAACGGTTCGACGTCGCGATGCGAGAATATCATCCGTGCCGGTGGATTTTCAAGGGAGAGATCATTTTTATGCGTAGCTGCGGGCCGCCGCCATTTTGTGGCGCCGCGAGCGCGTAAAGATGGCGACCGCTTACTCACATGGAATACACCGTTGGTTTTGATTTTTCTCTTTGTTGGCTGGCTTCGTGGCGTGTCTGCACGCGTGTGTTTCCACCTTGGTTGCTATCTGTGGAACAGAAACATTGTTGTGAGAAGAATATAGGGATAATCTAGTAAAATTCAGCTTACCGCTAGAACTACCAAGAATTAATACGGTAAGCGTTTAACTAGTTTCTTCAAATATTCGTTATATTCGAATGAAACTATTTATCTTTAAAATCATTTCGGATATTTGGCACTTTTAAGATATCAATAATTGCGAAATAAGGAAACTGAAGGTAGTCATTTTGACTGGTGCGGTAATTCTAGTGTTAATGGTACGTATGTCGTGTAAAACGATTTTATATTAGTTGTTCGTTTCGTTCGTTCAATGTATAGTTAAGTCGAGAACGTTTCCGGGGTACGATGATCCATTTCATATAATAAAGTTCACTGTAACTAGAAGCGAAGTTCGAATTAAACTCTCTCGATTGATAATGAATCAGAGCGAATGACCTGGGACTCGCGCCCGCTGATCAAATGAGTACCAAAGCCCGCGATACTTGATTAACCAACAGCGCACGTGCCAATTCGAACTTGTTAGTGTGCAAAGTGTGTTACCGATAAAGAGAAAACACGTATGTCCACGTAATTAGTGGCAATTACTCATTAGAGTCTCGAAAACTAATATTGTACGCCCACTCACGGTCGTAAACACGAGGCTCATTTCCATGCTCGTCGAATTCGTGATAAACTAAACAAGATATCGTGAGAAGCTTCGATAAATTGAAAAATACACTATTATCGACGGATTATTCAAATCATCGGGAATAAATATTCTCATCGGATAATCATTCAAATCAATTCTTCTTGCTCTCATTCTTCTCTTACATCTTTGTTCATTATTATTCATTAATTCCTCGTCCGTGTAATAACCGCTTTTACTCATAAAAAATCAGTATAATTAAATATTAGAATAACTTACTCTTTAATATAAAAATTCTTTTCAACTACTTATCATTAGCAACAAATACAATTCGACAATCTTACCTTTCATTGGAATGAAATTTTGCACAATACTCAAAGAAATAACGATCATTACAAAAAAACTTTCACAGTTTTATTTACTGTGATCCATAAGTTCGTTCATTAAACGAAACTTGATTAAATTCCAAACACGTTCTCCTTCGTTCTCTGAATCAGATTAAAAAAAGTGTCGCTTATCTCACTTTCAGAAACAGAAGCACAGCGAACCGCATTTTTTAATCAGATAGCCCAATGTAACACGGCTCCGTGCGAACGGAAGTGCACGCTAACGCTCCTCGAGATCTTTTTCTCTCGAGCCCGGATTCAGAGGATTAGAAACAGGCAAGACTATTTTGAAGCGTGGAATTCCGCGGAGTTCGCGGGGAAAGGAAGCTAAACTCGTTTCTAGCGCGATTAGAGGAGTCAGGTGAACCGTTGCCAGCGAAGAGTGGAAGAAAAACAGGGCTAATCCTGCAGCGGCTAAATACCGCTCGGATATAATGAACCCCGGAATCCTAAAAGCGTTCTCGTGTTCGCGCCGGTTAATTTGAACGTATCCGTTCACCATAAACGCACCTAAACATCCGATAAATCAATTCTCGCGACGCCTGATACCGTGCTCTCCGCGCTCGATTGCGGATGTTTACGTAAACTCACGCTTTCGGAAGTTCTTAACACTATTCCTACCGGAGGCGTTAAAAGACACCTTCGGAATTCTTAACTTAACCCTTTGCACTCGTACGTTTCTCGGTAGAAACGTTAAACATTTTTCGACGAGGCAAAGATGATAGTTTTTGAATCTCACTGTATTCCGATAAGAACTTCGAAAGCTGCATCGTGAATAACATCGATCGTTTAACCAGTTAACTGTGGAATTTAGTTGGAAGTCCTCTGGTTCCGCAATAAAATCAAAAAGTGGAGCGTGTAATCATCGAACGCAGGACGAATGGATGCAGAGTATATTTTAATGAGAGATCAAAGCGAAATAGAGACAAATTACATGTTTATCTAAAAAAATAAAGAACTCGTTGTTGAAAGACTTAGTATCACTTCAAGCTTCACGATGACGTGTATACTCGTCGAACACAGTTCACTGGTTAAATTCGGCAATTGGCGAGGTACCGATACCGCAGTGATTCACCGTACGTTTCTTAAATTCTATTTAAAATCTTCCTCGCGAGTCCGCAGCGGTATTATAGGGCAACGGGTTAATAAAGGAAACAGGCTCCTTTTTAGAATCTCGTTTGCGTGAAGAATGTTCTATTAAACGTCGACCGCGTTTAATCAAGTTCCCCTTTTCAGCTTCAGGAAAATAATCCTTTACGCGTACGTTGCTTTCGCAGTGCCGGCCGATGACGATGTGAATTTCCATGAATATCCGCGGCCTGGTTATCCGATAATGAAAACGAATGAAGTGAATTTATGGTATATAAATGAGCCATTGAGAAGTGAGACCGGATTTTTCTATTAAACTTCGCGGAAGTTTCTCTTCTGTGATGATTCACGGATATTCACTTTGTTACGCATCCTGCTGCGGAAATGATTAGGTCGGCTGATAATTAATATCGTTTCTTATGAATTTTTAATGAGAAGCTATAGACATTCCTTAAAAACGGTCTCAAGAGCTGTTCGAGGAATAAGAAGCAACGATGGTCGCTACATCGATGATTAAAGGAGAATAAATATTAATTGTTTACACGAGAATATAATATGAAAGACGAAATTGCTTATAGGATGACGTAAGATTTTAGATTCCAAGAGTTATATTGAAATTGAGAAAAGTTTATATAGGAATATGATATTTCTGCAAATTTTGTAAGATTTCAGATTCTAAGAGTTATATTGAAATTGAGAAAAGTTTATATAGGAATATATTTTTGCAAATATAGCATTTCCTGCAAATAGTAAACATTTTCCTTGATTTCTATTCGGATTAATAGGCAACGCATATTACCACAAATGTCTAATAACTGGTTTATTGGTAATTCCAGAGATCACAGGAAACAATGAACGATCACGACCACCGATAATGATAATGGAAATGGCCCACAACAATAATTTCGGCCTATTGATCACAGGATAGTAACTAGGCGGTGTAATTACCGAGCTGGAAACAGAAGAATTCTTAATTAATGAGTACTATTCGTACTCGCTAGTGATACAATCGTTAATTAGAGCCGACAATTTCCGTTTTGTGTACTACATCAGAAACGTTGCGTCCCTGTACCCTTTATTCGTGTTAAAAATTCTTTCTACAAGAAAGTACGATACAGTTTATAATAATAACATATAAACTGTACCAATATTGATCCTCAAAATCTATTATAAATTACATAGAACGCGTGCAATTTACAGAAATACGCAAAATATCCGTAGCACTGAGTTTTTCCAATTCTTGAATGTTCTCATTCGAATAAAGATCCATAGTTTATTCATAAGTGATACTAAATAAATGATTTTAAAAATAAATAGTTCCACTTGAATGACACATCAGTCGCATTAAATTCTTGATAATTCTTTAATGTCGCATAAACAGGAAATTTCAAAGTGAGAAATTACATAGAACGCGCGCAAATTACAGAAATACAGGAAATATCCGTAGCACTGAGTTTTCCCAATTATATTCTCGAGCGTTTTCATTCGAACAAAGATCCATAGTCTATTCGTAAGTGATACGAACACGCAGGAAATCGTGGTATTGTTATCCTCGCGTCGGCACGGCTCGCGGTACACGAAAGGATGTCAAAGACCAATAAACGGCAAACCAATTATCGGTTACGGACCAATCAGCAGTGCGGCTACGAAGTATCGGCGCGCACGCGACGCAATCGGCGAAACGATAGCGTAACAATAGCTCGATCATCGTGAAACAAGGCGACCCGGCCGTGTTTTTAGTCCGTGACACCGCTACGTTACAAGCTTCGGTACTTACGTACGTATTATACGGAAGTTCCTCTTTAGAACTTACTTAAGATTTTTTAATGAAATACCAACGACATTCTTTCAAACCGACTTAACGAGAAATCGTACATAAATTAACACTAGGTTTCAATTTGACGCAGATTGAATTTGATTTATAATTCAGTTTACGCATCACCGGTGACCCCCGTGGCATTCAACGTGTTAATATTATATTTTCACCATTCGACGCATTTTCCTCTGTGAAAACGTGCGGTGAACGTGTTAACCCCTCGGCCTATAATTTCCATCTCAACTCAGATCGATAATTTTGAACTTTGTCATTAATAATTTATTGGAAAAAGAGAAAAATTCTAAGCATATGTTATGCCTATATTTCCTTTTAAGTATAATAAATGATTGCAGAGGAATAATATTTACTTCGAACTCGAATAAACTGAGTAATATACATATGTGTTGAATCATGTTGAAAATCTTTACGAGTCTCACTCGTTGTAGGGCAAGGGGTTAACTTGCGAGACGGTACCTTCCATCGGCAATGCGGACCGAGCCTAAACAACGGTTGCTCTCGCGAGTGGAAATCGGTCGCCGGCAGATTATTTAATGATCATTCGTGCCGACGGGGACGAGCGTTCCGTGATTGATAGAAATTAAACGCGGCGACCGGGCTGACATTTGACATCAGCACGCGGCGGCACCGCGGCGTTTCATGTTGTGACGCGTGAATCGATCCTGATTCGACCGTTTGCGAATCCCCGATGGGCTGCTACGGGACTCGCTTCGCCAAAACTATATAGATACTTAGCGATGTGAATGCATTAAACTGCAATGGTGACTTGTAGAAACTTATGCAGAAGATTATGCAGAAAATCGAGAATTCTTACGTGTCTAATGTTGCTAATGACATCGGACGGTAACATATATAAATTGAAGGATAGTTATTTTATTTCAATATTCCACGTATCGATGCATCATACGAAGCTTAATATTATATATAAGACTTTATAATTTTGCAAATCAAATCAAGTGGTGAGAGTCTCTCGAGTGCAAAGGGTTGATGCGTCGAGGCGGAACAATATTGATTTTTGGACGTTCCATTGGAAAAGTATGATTCAGAGAGGAAAACTATATAGATACTTAGCCATACGAATGCATTAAACTGCAATGGTGACTTGTAGAAATTTAGACAATTTTTGACTCTTAGAAGATTACGCAGAAAATCGAGAATTGTTATATGTCTAATGTTGCTAATGACATCGGACGGTAAAGTAACGGTATAATTATGTAGAAACATGTATCGCGTACTAGATTACAAAACAACCTGGAGTGCCAAGGGTTAATTGCATAAAAGCCGAGAGGAATCGTTTCGATGGAAGACCTGGACCGACATCAGAGGCGAATATCGAGGGGGCGGATTCCTTTTCCATGAAAATTGTTCTGTTCGCCACTACGTCGAGCATCGGAAGATACTCGGCGCGCGCGCCGCCGCGGCTGGCCTGGAATTCATGCACCAAAATGGCAGTCTAATGAGAAACCGATATCGAACCGAGTTACTCGATTCCTCTCTGCCTATTCTCGGGAGATCACTTTGTCTCCAGGATGTCTCTTGAACCTGTCTTGGCTGTCTGCCTATCTTAAGGCACTTTGTACGATCCTGGATGCACACGCGACATCCCCGTTCGATACGTAAGTGGAAATTTCCTTTACTGTTCGCTATCGTTTTCGTTGGCGCGAGTACAACGTCGTGTTTTCTTCGATAATTAAACTGTTAACTGTGGAATTCAGTTGGGAAAACCTCTGGTTCCGTAATAAAATCGAAAAATGCGTGTACTCGCCGAAGGACGAATGCATGTAGAGTATATTTTAATGAAAGATCAAAGCGAAACAAAGAATTACATGTTTATCTGAAAAAATAAAGAACTCATCGTTGAAAGAATTAGTATCATGTCAAGCTTTAAGATGTGTATACTCGTCAAACACAGTTAACTGGTTAATAATTTTTCAATGAAACTGATTTGTCCTGAGTGTATAACTGTGATCTTCTATTTTACATTCATATTTTTTCTAAGCCAAAATGTTACAAAATAGCGCAGTTATTCTCTAGCTTCGGAACTCCTTTCCGTGAAACGTCCATTGTTGGGGTTCAAGGTGTCGTGTGTATTCGTCAAACACAGTTAACTGGTTAAATTTACTTTTCGAAATGTCTCTGTGGAAACTCCAAGAATGCATAATTTATTGTTATCATTTTTGTAGGAAATAGATATCAATCGTAGTAAATGCTCGGTAATTCTAGTGTTGAAACTACCATACAGTAACAACATGCTTCCGATTCTCTTGTTTCGCAATCATTGAAATTTCAAAAGCATTGAATTTGCGGTCATTGAGATTTAAAAAGCATTGAAAGCATTGATTTTGATAAAAAATTTGGAAATTAGTCATTCCAATTGTTCGGTAGTTTGTATTGACTACCATAAGACTGTTTACCTCTCGTATAACATTACTTGTTCCCATAGCGACGCGTTAGAATGAATTACTGACACCGAAACTGCACCCGTCAAAATGGCGGCTCTCAGACTTCTTATTCCATAATTATCAATATCTCAGAGGCACTGAATGTCCAAAATAATTTCAACAATAAATAGTTCCACTGAAATACCATCACGAACGTCCGAAGAAACTGAAAATAATCTATCGCTACGGTTTTCATAGGAATTGCACGTTAATCGTATTAAACGCTCGGCAGCTCTACCGTTAAAGAAGAGACCGTTGCCGCGGAGGTTCCCGAAAAGTCTGTTGCCGTTAAGTTCCCCGGCAACTTGGGAACAGGGGAGCGGGAAGCAAACCCCGAAAACGCGGAATCAATGGTCCCCGCGATCCGCTTTGAGCGGGCCGAACACAGAGGGATTTATTGTCCTCACCTGGAACTCGAGGCGGTAGAGGACCGGAAACTTCCGGCGCCGCTCGCACAGCTTAGGGAACTGGGAAAGCTCAGTGGGCGCGGACGGCAGAGTGGTGCCCATGCTGCTACCAAGTTTATCCGTGGCTGCGAACAAAAAAAGAACAGGGAAGAAATTAATGTAGCGGCCATTCGTGTTCACCCGGTTCCGCCTCGACCGTTCCTCTCGCCCTCTTTTCACCGTTTTTCCCCCGCGTCGCTATCGGAAGTGGTTTCCGTCGCCATCTTGGCCGGCACCGTGAACCGAGAGTACATATATAGCGAAACCGGCGATAGACGCTCGGGGAACATCGATCCGCAACGCCTTTATCTTCCATTTAACCCTTTGCACTCGAAAGGTGACTCTCAGTCGCCGTTTCATTCGACGCAGTGAAATTAGAGAATTTAATATTTAACACTAGGTTTACGGGTTAGTTTACAGTTTATTCTATCGTTCCTGGGGAAGTTGGTATTCGTTCGTTTAGGTCTTGGAAATTGTAGATGTAGAAGTAGACAACCAGGATTTGTATTAGTAATTGGATCAATGAGAATCGATTGAAAAATTTATCAAATAATGTTTATAAAATTCAATCTGCGTCAAATTGACGCGTTCCGTGGACATAGTGTTAATATTGAACTATGTATAATGCATCGGTGCGAGAAATATTGGGATAAAAAGCTTTGTTTCTCAATTTACCTGTGATTTCTCTTTGAATTCGTTTGAAAAACCATCGTCTTTGTCTAGTTAGAAAGTGTTAAGTATTGCTAATGAAATACTTTTGAGTGCGAAGGGTTAACACTAGAACTAGCAGTCAAAATGACTGGTTTCGATTCTTTTGTTTAGCAATTATTGATATCTTCGAATTGAATATTTGAAATGATTTTCAAAATAAATAGCTTCATTTCAGTACTATAACGAATGCCCGAAGAAACTGAAAATAATCTATTGTTACAATTTTTATGGGAATTGCGTATTAATCGTATTAAATGCTCGGTAGTTCCAGTGTCAACTGAATTTAGCTTTATTCGTTGATTCGAGTGAAACGCTTTTATCTCACTTATTTGCCTCATACGGAAAAGCGGAAAACAGGTTTTTTATTGCATCAAATTGAAAATCGTTCGAAACGTATAGAAAATGAAAAATATGGCGTAAACAAAGAATTCATAATTTTATTTGGCACGATGAAGTTTTAATAGATATACTTTAATTGTTTTGAACGATCGCGAGTTTTCTTCGATGAACTTGTTTTAATGTATAATTCATTGATTTATTCGATATTTATTTTTGTACAGTTTACTTCTTACTATTTATTGATTTATTAATCTAGATCGAAGATTGTGGAAAAGAGGTGAGAAATATAACTGAACGGTTAACCCTTTGCACTCGGAAGTTTTTCACTAGAAATATTTGAACATTTTCTGATGAGATAAAACCGACATTTTGTGAAACTAAGTCGACGAGAAATCACGCGTACATTGAGGAACAAAGCTATTTTATTTAAATATTCCTCAAAATGATACATTATAGGAAGTATAATATTAAACATCAAATTTTATAGTTTTGTATGAAATCAAGTGAGTGAGAGTCACCTCTCGAGTGCAAAGGGTTAATAATCAGAAAGATCGACAAACTTTGAGAATTTTACAAATACGTTACACAAAAACTAAAACGAAGAGTGTGAAGAATACGTTAAAAATAAAGGAACAAGAACGATAATCGTGATTAATAATACTGAATAATTTTGCCAGATTTTCCAGTTACAGTGGGTTCCACCACAATAACATTCCTAACGGAGAAATTCGGCCGGAATCGAAATATCTTTCGGCGACTGGGCGTTACCTCTCGCGGATACCACCGGCAGTTACCATAGAGAATGGAATTCCGTGTCTGACACAGATTATCCATTACTACTGTCGGGAAGTCGACCAAGAGCGGGAGCCTACGGTTAAGAAGAACGAAGATTTTTGCCGTTTACTCCGGCGTCCCCACCCAACGGATGTATCTTTATGCTAATGCCCCGAGGCATTTGCATTCTCATATTTGCATCTTGTGTTCCGTTTCACTTGTGGATCGATAAGTCGCAGGCGTTTTCGTGGCTTCGGTGTTAATCGACGCTCGGAAAAACTTCACTTCGGAGGATCGCGTCTCGAATATCCTTCTTTCGATTCGCCCTTTCGTATTGAATAACATTGATGTTAATTATGTATTAATAATATAGTGTTACTATAGTATAGATAACGAAAAGGTGGATCTTGAGTAATCGAGAGCTAGGAATAAATATATGTATTTAATGAGATATGAAAACAACACGGACACGTAAAAAGTACTTTATCTTACAAGAAGTATCGAACCGGAGAATTAAAAAAATATGAAGCTTTGCCACGTGGAGTAAGTTAACTCTTAGTACTTCAGATGGTTTTGTAATCCATCAGCCACTGCACCTAGTTTTTATATCCCTAGCGAAAATTAGATTTTATTTTCCTTAGTACAAAATCTGGATGTGGAAAATCGAATAATTTTAGGGTAGTTTCTTTAAGATTCATTAAAGCATTTAGTATTGTAACTGGTGCAATATTGGAGCCTACAGAATTCAAAGGGTTAATGATTGAAAATTTCAAAGTTTGAAGGTTTGAAAGTTTCGACGCTTCAATGTTTCCATGCTCCAAAGTTTCGAAATCTCGAAACGCGAAAAATTCCGAATTTGTCCAAAATAAGGGAAATAAGTACGTACGCCAATGTATTTTCCATTAACGACGCTTCTTTTCAAACTTCTGTATACAGGATACCTAAATATCAGACACCTAATAAATGTAGGGTAGTTTCTTTAAGATTCATTAAAGTATCTAACATTATTCCTGATGCAATATTGGAGCCTACAGAGTTCAAAATACAAAAATTAGCCACATGTGGCACACGTGGATCTGATCGTGTTAAATACGAAATTCTACAATTTCGATGCTCCAATCATGTGGTGACTGAGTGGCAGCTATCGAGTGCAAACGGTTAAATTGTCGTAGAATACCGAAAAATTACTTTTCATTTCCCTTGCTCGATCCCAGAGGAATCATTTCGAGGAATGAAAGTTCGAATGAGACGGAAAAACTTCAAGGAATACGAGATTGTATTGTAAATAGAATTCGGACGAGTTCAACTGCGGCACAATGCGAGCCAGATGTTTCCACCTGTGCTCTCATGCTATCGTAACCGGTGTATTCCTATTGTGAAACTAGCAGCGAGTCAACATCAAGAGGATTTCACCAAATAAGATCTGTTTAATCTAGAAGTTTCTGTTCCATAGAAACCGACGTGGAATTCAGCTCGCCCCGGAAGTTGCTCGGCGACACGTCGGGCGTGTTCTTGTTCGCCGGTAACTTTAGCTTCCGAGTTCGAACAATTAGTTCATTCAAATTCGAACGAATAATATTTCGGAAATCTCGTTTCTTTCGTTGAAAAATATGGTTCGTTTAATATCTTCCCTAGGAAAAGAGTGTAAATGTCTTCTGTAAGCTTAAACGAGGTAGCGTTTCGATCTATGGGCTGTAGAAATTGCATTTCTGAATAAATTTCACTGAAAACATTCGTGGTACTTAATAAAAGTGTAGTCGCGAGATCTGTGAAGTTTCAATTAAGAGACATCGGTATTTGTTTTACAAAAGATACTAAGAATTCATATTCTCAAACGATGGGATTCCCTCGTTACTAAAATTGTTCGATAATCATAGGAAACGAATATTAATGAGGGAACCTCATCGTTTACGAATTAATGTTTCTCTCATTGATAAGGATAGCCGAGAATTAATAATAATAAATGGGCTTCGACAAGAATTAACCCTTTGCGGACGAAGATTCTCGGAAATATACGAAACCATCAGGTGAAGCTAAATTGTACATCAATTACTTGAATAATATAAGAATAGAAAACTACATACTGATCTCTTGCTATTCGAATAATTAAATTATTTATTTAAGACTCAGACTTCCAAATGTAAAATTTCATCTCGCAGAAATGTCGCCATTCGTCCGCAAAGGGTTAAAATCAGTCGGAGTCGCGAGGCGGTGTTTCTTTCGAACAGCAGAAAGTCCGCGATACCGACGGACAATATTTTCCTCGTCGATTCTGTCCGACTTCCTTTCCCCCTTATCTCCTCCTTCGTCCTCTTTCTCGTCGGAAGCGCAAAGAACTCGCCCCTTAGTCCCGCAGCTCGTTTACCCTCCGCGATCCCATGAAAGAAGCCTTGGGAGTATTTCATCCCTCGTCACTCGCGCGAAACTTCGAGTCGTTCCGACGTACCGATACACTTCGTTCCGTCCCCTCATCCTTTGTCCTCTTAATCTGATTATTCTCGCCCCGTAAACTCCTAATCGAAAAGTCGACTGCCGAGTTTTAATGATGCCGGCAGCGACGAATGTTACTCCGAGTCGCAGTCAATATTCTTGGGAAGAAATTAAACGTCAACGGAGTTCACGTTTTCAGAAGCTCCCACTCGTCGGCAGTCCAATTCCGAGCGACTAAATTTACCTCAATTTCAATTCTACCGATAACCGTAATTTTGAGTTTCAATTCATTTAACCCTTCGCACTCGGAATCATTTTCTCAGTGAATATTCGTTATTCTTTTGATGAGATATTAACGTAAAGAGATATCTTGTACAAATGAAGCGACGGAACTAGTTTATTTCGATGCTCCACGTGTAGATGCATTATAGAGAATTTCATATTGCATTCGAAATTTGATCATTTCGTTCGGTCGAATCGAATGGCGATTAAATCAGATAGGCACCGCTAGCCTAATATACGCTTCGATGAAACTAGCGTAAAGTTTATTGTACGAAGTATTGCAATAATTTTCTTTATCTCCTTCGACGCGTGATTACTAACCCACGATCGAAATAATGAAATTCCCGAATGGCGACATAATATTCGCAAGATCGAGACGGGTCACGATTAAAAAATGGGAACGCCGAAGATGCGTCGACTGAAGCGAAACGTCCGAAATTCAGCCAATTTCTCAAGCGAAATCACGTTAACACGTTAATCGCCATGTCAGTCACTGGTGGCTGACGCTTCTGAATGACTAGAAAACAATCGTAACACACAAGACAACCGA